CACGTAAACTCTACCCGGGCTTTGTTCCCTGTATTCGCTCGCTCCTCGCCTCCGCCAACCCTTCTGGCCCCGGCCTCGCCTCTTCCGGCATCCGTGCCTTCGCCAGCATCGATTACCGCCTCTCACCCCACCCCGAATTTCCCCAGGACCCTTCTTCCGTGCCGCCCTCGGAGCTGCGCGAAGCCCGCCACCCCGATCACCTGCTCGATGTGCGCGCCGCTCTCGCTAGTCTACAGGAGCGGTATGCCTTTGGCGACCGCTATGTCCTGATCGGCCATTCTGCCGGTGCCACCATGGCGTATCAGTTGGCCATGGGTGGTGCCGCCATCGGCCTTGGTGCCGCTGCCGCACCTACCCCTAGCGTCATCCTGCCCTCTGCTGTCGTCGGCGTCTCGGGCATCTATGAGTTGCGCAAATTTGTCCAGCGCCACGGTCCCCCCTACGCCGCCTTCATTGCTGGGGCGTTTGGCGACGACGAGTCGACCTGGAACGATCGCATACCCGCCTGTTACAGCGGCAGCTTCAACGAGCAGCTCGGCTCCACGTGTGCCTACCTTTCCTGGTCGCCAGATGACCAGCTCGTCGATGAGACTGAGATTGACCTCATGGCCAAGCGGCTGGAAGAGGATAAAGTTCAGGTCAAAGTCACCAAGGATCTCACTGGCAACCACGATGTTGTATGGGAGGAGGGCACTCAGCTGGCCAAAATTATAAAGACTGTCTTGACCGACCTGTCAGGCCCGTGAATCCTGCGGGGGGGAATGGTCTGATCTCACATGGATAAGCGGCACGAGCAGGAAGGAGCCAGAAGAACCCTGATTGATCGTCGTTCCGACCGTGCCATTCAAAAAGACAATTGAATACCCTCATACTGTCGCATTTTCGCATGAACCTGACAAACACACGCCCGGCTTTGACCGGCGTCCCTCTCGCCATATTGGTGACGGGACGATCTAGGCTTGCCCCGGAAGGCCTGAGACCCGCAAGCCTGGGTACTGTTGTTCACTGTCGAAGCCGAGTCGTTCATCCAACCGTCGCCATGGTTCTTGCGCCGGATTACATGCCCTCATCTCGTGTGAGCCATTTGTCATGAAAGGCATAGAGCCAACGATAATACTAGACACACAGCCGATATTGAGGCCACATCAGACGATGGCGGCGAATGATCAAGCTCAGCCATCCATAGATCGCCCGGCAAAAATGATGCCGCTCCACATTGCCATTGTGCTATTATCGCAAAGGTTTGATACGAGAGAGCGGCCCACCGCAAACAAGCTTCGTTGAAGTGTTCCGACGACGAGGGTCTGGTGCGGAGATCACCAACAGGGGTAGTTCGGACAGTTCCTAGGATATAGCCAAGATATGGGGCCCGGGAGCAAAATTCTCCATTCGCAAACAGCACATAGGCTGTCTCAAGGTGCACGTCCCATCCGATCACCGAAGCCTGTGATTTAGGCGCAGCCTGCGACTCGGGAAGGAGGAGAGCACTGGTGGCGAGGTCTCGGTCGGCACCGTGTCGTCGCAGCTATTATACGAAATCCAAGGGCCGCACTACGACTTTAATATCACAGCCAACGTCGAGAGTATCGTCATAACATAGCTAGACAAGGACCGCGTGTAGGTTACTAGTATTGAAGGGCTTCCCGCGTCTTCGACGATAAAGGACGGCCTTGTAGCATGTCGCGACTAGTAAACCGAGTTTTACTACTACCCCGTCGGCTTAGACGTCGAGGAGAAGGCCAAATAGACGTAACAATAGATCCGCTACTCGTTTATAGATACCATCCAAGATCTTATCTACCTAGAAATTGGTTTCAACGGGTACTTTCGAGAATCCGCATAATTAAGAGATCGCTACGGTCGATATATGTATTTTTATTTAGACCAAAAGAGAGAACTGGTTACTAAGTTTACGGTGAATGTCCTGAAAGTGCCAATATCCCGGCCTTCCACCTTTTCAAAACTACATAATGGCAGCGTGCTCAATCGATGGGGTATCAATCTATCTAGAACCTGCCCGCAGATATGCACTGCTGACTTGAGGTAAGCTGATATGCGATTGCAGGGTGATAAACAAATTGACGTCACCAAGGTCGGGAGCAGACATCGTGGGCCCCTGCGGTTATTGTCAGGCCCCGTCAATTGTAAGCTTACCACGCTATTGCGGCCTATGAATAAGACATCCATAACATTCTCGTCAGAACTGTTACTGCGCGAGCATCGTCTGCCGGTTGTCCTGTCGAGTCTCGTCAGACATTGCCAAGAACGGTTGTAGCGGAGCCGAGAAAACACGCTTCGATAGCTATAGCATGCATTCCGGTTGAAGACCTGTTGTTGTGCATATTTAGGAGCGGGGAATCGTAGAGCAAGTTAATCGGTGAAGTCTGCGCGTGTGCGGATGAGCGACGGGACAGCATATCGCCGGCAGACCACCGTCGATTCTCGAAGAATCACTTATGACCAGGCTCCAGGAGAGGCTGAGAGAGGTTCCCGACCTGGATTTATCCCGCTCACACATCCTTCAGGTGGTCTCTTTGTTCGTTGGGGAGGTGAGAAAGCAGAAATGATTTGGACTGGTCGGCATGGTGTTGGAATGGGCTTTGTTGTCCAGAACATGTCAGCCACCTTTGCAATGACGAGGCATGTCCTGAAATGATACAGACAAATCGAAGTTACAGACAACGAGTACGCTTGGGGGGCTATGAAAATCCAAAGCCCAGCCCTACAAAAGCGGAAGTGGCTATACACTTTGGGGCTTCAAGTGCAAATGGGATCATAGAAATAGATCACCCAACAGCGGCGATAATGATATGTGATGCTCAGAACTCTGTCCCTAACTACCTTTGAAGCTGCCGAAAACAAAAAAGACCAAAGCCGGACATGCCAGCCATACTTTTTCTAGCCATTTGGTGGGCTTGGACGATCACTCAGATATACAGCGTGGCAAGGCGCGAGCTGGCAGAGGGGCATAGTTGGTATGCCGTGCAAAAAGAAAAGGATGGTTCGTGGAAAATACAATGGCAGACGGCTGGCAGTGCAGACTCAACAATTAATTCGAAACAACAGCGTCAAATTCCTTGATACATTGTCGCTCGCTTGAAATACATTTAGGTAAACATATCACGTACCAGAGGACTCCAAAAGACAGAGATAGCCTCATAGCCAAAGACGCGATTGCGATTGATGGCCTTCAGTCACACAGGCTATATTATCGGTTGGGTTATGTCGTAATGAATAATTTAGTGTAATCCCTACCCCCCGAGGGCCACCGATGACCAAACCTCTCCAAGAACACCAGGAAGCAGAAGGATTTGAAATTCGACAAGTCCAGAGTATACAAAACGTCGCATGAATGGAAAATATGACGCAAACATGCTGTTCAGGTCAGCGAACAGGGTTCAACGGGCCTGCATTGACAGAATACGACCCTGTGTGTTATTTTCTTTCCAGGTGAATGAGACGACGTCACGCACACAGCAGATGCTTCAGGCAGTAGAAGAAGAAGGGACAGAAGTTTTGATCATCGGAAGGAAACACCTTCGCTGAATGATATCCATCAACACCAAGAGACTCAAGGCCGCAGACCGCCAAGCTGTGCGGAATCGGATCGCCACGTGCAGTCAAGATGATCCCCGCTTTAGCCCCCGGGGAGCGGGGTCTCCAGTTCGGTACTCGGCGGAGGCACCGCCTGCCCCCCTCCGGGGCCCAAAATAGTGGGGGTTGAGAAAGAAGGGGGCACGGGCCCCGCTTCCAATGGCATCCCGCCTTATCGCGGCGCCCCACGGCCCGACTGATAAGACTTCACCGCCTCAACCCCTCTTGCTGCACGGCCTCAGCCGCGGGCGGGACGAACCGCGCAACCGCCTGCCCGGTGTCGCACGACGTGCCAAACGTTGGAGCAATGCGCCGTAGAAATGACGAGCATTGAAAACGAGACTGGGCACCTCCGATGATCAGTCTGGAAAACTTTCAGCGACGGCATCTCTTGTTTTCTGCCGTCGCATGGCGTCGTGCGCACCTTGATCGCGGGGTCAAAAGTGACGTAATCTTGTGTTGCGTAGTGAAGTCCGCGCACTGTATCTCGGACGGTACGACGAGCCCCTGAAGGGGCTTAGCGCTGGCTCACTTCTCAACCCAAATACTGGTTGATGAGGGTATCGCGACCACCGACGATAGTCGTTTTTCGTGTCGCGTGCATAGCGCCTTGTGCGCGCATCGCTCCAAATGCCATTGATCAATGAAAACCATCATGGAAATTCCAAGACACCCACTCATATTGATGCGTCAACTTTATTCAGAGGTAGCGCTCGTGTTACGTCGCTACAACCATGTGCTCGTTGCACAGAGTCCAGGTCAAGTCAAGTCAAGCCACGCGGCAACAATTGCAACGCAAAACCACAGTCGCACAACGGGTACCAAGAGACTCTGCGCACCCTCCAAAGGAAACAGGAAATCTAGGAAATACACGGTAAAACAGGAGGAAATACCAACATCAGGAACAACTCAACCTGCCCCCCATCCCACCCTCTGTCCAGCCAGGGGAGAACATCCGATCTCGCCTCAGCCTTTTGCCGTACAGCGCGGCGTATCCCACACCCATGCAGCGCCTCCTGCCGTCATCCAGCATGCGTGTATTCCAACACGGCACACCTTTTCTGCCGCAGTCCTACACAGCCTTTTTGCGATCATCGGCCAGCTTGGTGTCGCTGGCTCCAGGCGGTAAATCGAGTACCAAGGACAGGAAAGAAAAGAATAAGGAAACCGTCATGATTGCTTGCTTGCCGCTGAGCCACACCATTCCAAACGCCATCAAGGAGTGAAAGTGACCTTGCCAGGTCCTCTCCATTACTTCCCGATTTCCCGTCCTACCCCGTGACCTTGACAAAAAGAATCGTAGCCCTCACGACAGCTGCACCCTGTCTTAGTCTGCTCTGCCTCATCGGAAGCGCACACATTGTGAATACAGACACAAGCTGAAGGCTATCATTTGTGTCGTACTTCTACCGTTTGCGCTTCTTCAGTTTGTCCGCAGCAGCAGCGGCGGCGGCAGCAGCAGCGGACACCGGAGTTGCTGAAGGCATGAGGGAGGGATGCGATGGACCGACAGCGATGTCCTCCATCTTAATGGGGACACCCATGTGGCGACCATAGCGACCCTTGCGGCCGTTGCCTTCATCCTCACTGATGCACTGGTCGGCACTGAGACCGGCGTCCTTGCAGCGACCGCAAGGACGCTGCCTGTCGCAGCCCTTCTTGCTCTTCCGGCAGCGTTGACAGCGCGCTTGGGCAGAGAGGTCAAGCTGTTCCTCGTCAACAGCACCCGGGGGAAAGGGGCACCGCCAGCTGGTGACAGAACGGGCTTTCGCGACGGGAGGCAGCGAGGACCGGCGACCATGGGGGCCCGTTGCTTGGCCAAAAAAAGCCAGCGGGGTTTCCTTTGGGCTTGGGGGGGAACCAACCAGGACGGAGGGCACTTTTGCTTGGCCTTTTGCTGGTCTTGGCTGGGCCTTGACTTGCGGGGGGCCAAAAACCTTAAGGCCTGGGCATTGCCTGGAAGGGGCCGGTTTTTGGACTTCAATGGGCTTCCATAAAAAGGCCTCAATCTTTCATGGGGGGGTCGGGGTCGCCGGCGGCCCTTCACCCGAAGGGAAGCGGCCCCCTTGTCAAGAACAACCATTTCGGAAGGCATGGAAGGGGCTCTCGGTAGTCTGGTAAATCTTGCGCATAGTTCCAGCGGCATCGAGCTTCTGGCGGCGAGCCTCAGGGAGCTCTTCTTCACTGTCGCTGTCCCCCTCACTAGTGGCACCGGTCGACGAGGCAGCGTCAGCGCGACCGCTGAATGTGTCATCAAGAGTCGACGCCGATGTTCGCCCATGAGAGATGTTTGACATGTCACCCAGGCGCATTAGCTGGATGGCGACATCCTTGTCCTCCTCTGACATGCAACTGCCGACAGTCGGGTCTGGTGTCGGTAGGATGCCAGACATACCGGCATGAGCACTGCCTTGGCCGCTGTGACTAATGCTGTTGCGGGCGCGGCGAGTGTCAGAGGCGGGTGTTGCGTAGAAAGCAGCCTGGCCGAAGCCGTTGTTGTAGCTTTGCGGGGACTGCAGCGGTATAGGGTTCGTGAATGGGTTCTGGCCCTGCTGCGCATGGGATATTGAGGGCCGCTGGTGTTCGATGCGACGCGCAGGCGACACTGATGGGTTGGATGTAGCGGCTGGCATTTGCGGAGGTGCGAACAGCGGCAGTTCCTGGAGAAAAAAGGGAACCGAGATCAGCCATACTCCACAGGCAGCAGGAGGAGTCAATCGAGAAGGGAAGCACGATTCGTGGCAAGGCTTACCGAACTTTCAATTTGGCCCTCTTCCGACGGCCACCCTCGACAATATTCTCAAGACTATCTCAGTATTGCCGAGCTGTTCCTTGCCTTGCCGGAGGTGGTACTTCCGGGCGCGCCATCGCCACTGCTATAGCCGTTGATGCTATCACTG